GTCTTACTTTGCCAATTTAATGGACTATAATTAGGATTCTAAATCCTTTCTGGGATGCATGATTTAGTTTTACACATGTTAAATTGTGTTTGCACTTATTTTGGAATGTAGTTGATAACTATTTATACTATTTTGTTAATTAATTGAAGGTTTTGGAGTTTGGATTATTTAATCTTTATTATTGGAGGATTGTAAATATTTAATTTTAAAGGTTTTTACTTTAGATTTTCCTTCAGCTTAAATTATATTTCTTATTTCATTTTGTCATCTATGTTCCCATTAAATATTAATTGTTTGGTATCCCTCGGATCTGTGCTCGAACTTGATCACCCGTGGCTCTGGAATCGAGGGGTATCACAACGATGATGTCGTCACGCCCCAAAAATGCAGCCACGACGAGGCTGTGTGGAAAGAGTTGTTTCTCCATCCCACACCGGCCGTCCATCACATATTGATCGTCGGCATCGGAATTCACTTCTTCCAGCAATCGTCCGGCATAGACGTCGTCGTTTTGTACAGCCCCCGAATCTTCGAAAAAATGGGAATCACAAATGAAACCAACAAACTACTTGCGACTATGGCCGTTGGATTCGTGAAGACAATGTTCATCTTGGTGGCCACGTTTTTGCTCGACCGGTTAACGACCTCTGCTTCTCACCAACGTGGCGGGTATATCGGGTTTCTTACTTTGCTCGGTGTAGGTCAAAATAGGGGTATTTTGGTCATTATAATTGTTAGAAAGATGTGTGAATGTAACTTATTTGCAACGTGTCTATGTATATCACATTAGACTACAACATGTGAATATCAACTATATGTTGGTTGTAACAAGAATATTTTGGTGTGAAAGGTTGTGTCGATTCGGGTAAGGTGATGTTTTAGGAGTGTTTATAACCAATAGATGCAACTACTCTAAACTATTGTATCTCAAATGAACAAACACATCTAATAACGATGGGACACCACTTTGATTATAACCAACCATTGCAACCTATTGGAAGTGGTTGTGCCTGTTAACAAAGAGACACCACCTTATCTATAAATACCCACCATTGGTTGATATTTATGTGTACAATTTTCTATTATTTTCTCCCTCTCTCAACATGAACCCAACCCAAGTAGGTGTGGGTTCAAGTCATGGTCAAGTGGTTTGAGCCATTTAGGCCCAAAACTGATTTCATTGAGCCATATTAAATTTGGTCTGAGCCATTTGGTTCAGATTGCACCCAATTCATTATTTATATAGTATAAATGTATTTTTTAGTCAGAGAAAGTATTACACGGAGAAGGTTCGCCGTATCCACGAGTTTGTAGTGCTGCTACTGGTGGATCTAGACCGTTGTATCCTGGGAGATAGACGCCACTGAGTTCGTTAGCACCATAGCGGGGCGAATCTGTCTTAAGGACATAGTATCCAATACTAGCCTCGGTCCAATTTCTCTATTTATTATTATTAATTTTGTATATTTAATTAAATATAGAGTTGCATATTTAATTAATGATTTCTTAGCACATTGTTAATTATCTCATGATATATTAGTATAAGGTTTGTTATATCTTAAATATCACATAAAACATATATTTACCAACAATAATACAGTATATGGTGCATGTGATAAGATCCGTTAATTTCCGTTAATTTTAGACGGTCAACTAACGGAGAATGGGTGATATGATATATTTTTAAAAATATGAAGGGGTAATATGATTGTTTATGTAGTTGAGGGGGTTGATAGATAATTTTTGTAAACAAAAAGGGATTTTATGTTTTTGGCTCTTAATTTTAAGATTTGGAAAGAAAAAACTGGAATCTCCGACACCATAACCACCACCGCCAGCCACCAGTGATTCCCAAATCCCAGATCCCATTCCGACACCATATGATTGTTTATGTAGTTGAGGGGGTTGATAGATAATTTTTGTAAACAACAAAGGATTTTATGTTTTTGGCTCTTAATTTTAAGATTTGGAAAGAAAAAACTGGAATCTCCGACACCATAACCACCACCGCCAGCCACCAGTGATTCCCAAATCCCAGATACCATTCCATAATAAATTACTCTCTTCATCTTTATCCTCTCCAAATCCCACATACCCATTCCATAATAAATTACTCTCTTCATCCTTATCCTATTCAAATCCCACACACCCATATTATCAATTTGGGTTAGGGTTAGGGTTTCAATATCCATTCCAAGCCACAATGGCAAAGTCGAAAGAAGTACAATTGCTCATACCTAATTTCTCACCGTGATTCACATGACCTTCTCGTATCCGCGAGCTGTACGTGAAATCGATGTTTACTCCGCCTATATATTTATGTGTCTATGACCCTGTATGTAGGTTCATTGATCGGGGCTTGACGGAAGAACTTTATAAGTTTCCAAAAATTGAAGATACAGATCAAGAAATTGAATTTCAATTATTTGTGGAAACATATCAATTGGTAGAACCGTTGATAAAAGAAAGAGATGCTGTGTATGAATCACTCACATATTCTTCTGAATTATATGTATCCGCGGGATTAATTTGGAAAACCGGTAGGATATGCAAGAAGAAATCATTTTTATTGGAAACATTCCTCTAACTTCTATAGTAAATGGAATATACAGAGTTGTAATCAATCAAATATTGCAAAGCCCCGGTATTTATTACCGGTCACCATAATATCAGATTGGGGGAAGATCAGAATTAGAGATTGATAGAAAAGCAAAGATATGGAAAACCGTGAGTAGGAAACAAAAAATATCTATTCTAGTTCTATCATCGGCTATGGGTTCGAATCTAAGAGAAATTTTAGAGAATGTTTGCCATCCAGATTTTTTTTTGTCTTTTCTAAATGATAAGGAGAAAAAAAAAAATTGGGTCAAAAGAAAATGCCATTTTAGAGTTTTATCAACAATTTGCTTGTGTATAGATATACATATATAAAAGAGAGTGAAGGAAGAGCAAGCGAGCTATTGATTGATGTACGATGTAAGATCAACTCTAATTTCTACTCCTCTTTCTTTCTATAATCCAACCGGCCACCATTAACCAATTCCCTAACACCAGCTCTGCCTTTTATTGGCACTATATTTGCTTTTGTGGTTAGAGTTAGCGTCTAAAAGATGGCTAATTAAGAATTCAAGATAACAGAATTCCATTTAAGACTTGTGGTTGGAAGTCAAGACAAGGTTTTTTCTTTCTTTGCAATGAGAGAGGATTGCATCAAGACAAGATTTTTTTTTGGTTCTGGATTTGTGTTTGTTCGTAGTTGGTTGATCGATATATATATATATATATATATATATATATATCAATTCCATCGTTGATTTTCAACTCAAGTATATCTATTTCACTAAATCTCACATTTCAAATGAGATTGTGGTTGGTGGCGATGGGGTGGTGGCAGGAAACTCGTGGATGGGGCGGTAGGATTTGGGAGAAATTATTGGGTACCTCAGGGGTGCCACGTCAAAGCCACTAACTGGTACCCCCATCCAATAGAATAATGTTATATGTCATATTAGAGAAACATTCCATGTCAGCTTTAACTAAGCCAAAACAGGAAACAAATAGACAGAAAGTTAACACCGTTTAAAATCAATTGAGTCAAAATTTTCAATTTTCAATTTTCAAATTTCAAATTTCACATTATAATATTTTTTTTCCTCAAATACCACAAAAGAAAAATTTTTGGTCAAAAAATGAATAAAGCTGTTTCTTACTCCACATCTCACAAATGGACATCAAAATCTAGTAGAACTTGCCTCCATTGCCGGATGAACACCACCACAGATCTCTCTCAGTATGAATTCTTTCATCACTATTTTGTGTTTCTTTCATTTTCTCGCAATTTTTGAGATCCATTGTTTCGAATGGGTTTGTTGAATTTTTTAATTTGAATTCATATTTTGATATTCAGCTTTAAATGTGTCAATAATTTTATTTTCTTGTTGATCAATGTTTTGTTTGAACACAGGTAACTTCGAAAAAAACGTAGGGGTTTCCTTTTGTTTGTGATGATGTAAACCCAGCCGAACTGTGGAGATCGGTCCAAACAAACCTATTCTTGGAGGTTCTAAAGAAAAAATACTGGTCAAGCCCTTGGTCTCAATGGGGAAAAAGAGGCAACAAGGAGAAGTAGGGAAGGGCCAGTATGACCTTGAACGAGAGGAGAGACAGGGAGCACCTAGTAGAGCCCAGTACTTGTATGGACTCATAATGCACTTTTTGCTGAGCCAAGCTTGGCTTGAGGAAAGATGCACAAAAGCTCTCTATCAGAGATCCTACATTTGGTTTTTGCACATCCCAGTGGTGGTTTGGAAACTCATTAAAATGCTGTATTCGCTGGTGTACATCTGAATGTTTGCTTTGCAGTTCAATTAGTAATCCAAGGATGCCCATTATTTGTATATTGATTGGATTATCAACCACTAAGTTTTACTATTATTTTTATTAACAAACAAATTCTCTCACAAGAATACCTATTATTTTTATTGATTGAGCCTTTTTCATGAAAAAAACATCTACCAAGAATAATCTAAATTCATTATTTGCTTGAATAAAGAAAAAAAGTTTTTTTTTTTTTTTTTGACAAGTACATCACTGGACTTGTATCTTCTTGTCAAAAGCTTCAGATACCTCCATCCTTGAAACCTTACAAAAGAACATTTGGTTTACCCTTTTAAATTGGTTTCAGGGTTTAAGTACTGATACAAGAACTTCAAACTACGGATCATGGAATAAAGACAACAAATTTACTAAAAGTAAAGGCAAGGCAATCACTCATTACAATCCAAACATTACATAGTATCCTTAATATGATAAAAGTGCAATTCTTGGAAGAAAGTAGCACTCTCTAAAACAAAATAAAACAATTTCAGACTATTGATCTTCATAAGTCATCCAACTTCAACTTTCATGTTGGCCAATTGGTAGAAATCCTACAAAAAATATTTATATGTGTGTGGTTAGTTAAGAATAGTGTTGTTTAGAATGAATTATAGAAAAAAAATCTACAAAGTTGTACCAATTAAACCATCATCTTTTAGGGAATCAACAGGATTTAACGACTCTTGAGATATTAGCATTTGTCGGCTTCTTTCACAATCACCGGGGTTGTTTGAGATGACATCCTACAAAAACGTGTTGAAAAATGTCATGCACAAATGAATATATAACCTATAAATTATTTATTTACTATATGAAGACGGGCTATTAATGTATTTTGAGTTATTAAAGTAAAATGAAATGTACCTCATGGGAAAGACTTGGATTGTAAAAATTAGCATGCATTGGTGTACCAAATGAACGACCATTCGTCATATGAACATGGCCAACTGTAGTGTCTGAGCTACCAAAGGTGCTAACTGAATGCTTTACACTTGTTTGTGCTTTTGGTGCTGCAATAAATAATTATAACTCATAAGTTTGGATAGGTAAATTCAATATGAAAAACAAATTGAGTAAATGTAGAGAAAATTGTGTTACCTCCTGCCTTCTTACGTTTTTTCTTTTCCATATGGCTTTTTAACCGTGCATTGGTTATTCCCTTTTCCCTTACACGTAAAGGATCCAATATGGACATATCATTAAACTGTACACAACTTTCCGCGGTATGATCACAACTAGAATCAGCACTTCTTTTATAGAGATTGCAAGCCTCCATTAGTTTTTGAGTTTCATCCCACATTGATTGCACATGGCTTTTTGCCACATTTTTTCCTTCATCACTCAAAACCAAGTAATTGATAGCACGATAAGCCTGTTGAAGTAAGAAGTTCCTTTCTACAGTTAGTGATGTTTTTTTTTGCGTGGATAACTCACCTTGGTCAAAAACAACATTTCTATCTTTTGCACATTTCTTCCATCTATCAATAATATATTGAGATGGTATCTCGGTGATATTCCACAAATTGAGAACCTTAAGTGCATGCCGACACAACCATCCCGCGGACTCAAACATTTTACAAGAGCACGTGACGTTATAATTTGAGGAGTCGTACTCTATAATGTGGCACTCTTTGTGACGCTCCTGAAACGCACGATAATTGTGAAGTTTATTAAGACTACCAAGTTGTTCTAGATGCACCTTCAAACTAGAAAGAAACTCATCTTCAAATAAGTAATAAATACTAGTTGTATAAACACTAGCTGCTTGTTCCAATATTTCACTCTCTCTTATTTTTGGTTGCACCATTCTATGTTTACAACGAAAATCTTCATGAGTCTCTGCCAAACGCATCTTCTCACATTGTTCTTCATAATGTAGCACAAATTCCATTAAGGCCATGGTCTTGCAAGATATCTTCTTTAAAACATTATTCATACTTTCACTCCTTTGAGTGGATTTAATACGAAGAGTGAAGGTGTCTAGGCTAAAAGCGGGACACCACTTTTCTTTTAATCCATAAAGTGTTTTAAGCCATTTGTTGCCTCCATCACAAAATCTTCTAATCATCTCATCCCAAGTTGCTTCAAATTCATCCTTTTTTTTTCACAATGTAGACATTTGTTAAACAAACATTTGAACTCATAATTAGCATACAAGCTCCCAATGTTTTGAGTTGCATTCTTCGAAATGTGCCATGAGCAAAGACGATGACAAGTATTTGGAAAAACTTTCTTAATGGCATTTGCCATTGCTTGACACTGATCGGTAAATATAGTCTTCGGTGCTTTATTCTCCATTGCCTCTAAAAAAGTTTCAAATAACCAAACAAATGAATCGGTAGTTTCATCTAACAAAAATGCACAACCAAATAAAATATTTTTTAAGTGATGATTGACCCCGACGAATGGAGCGAAGATCATGTTATATTTGTTTGTTCGATATGTGGTGTCAAACACCGCAACATCTCCGAAACAATCATAATCAAATTTTGATCTCCCGTCTCTCCAAAAGAAATTTGCCAAACGACCTTCCTCGTCTAATTCTTCATCATGATAGAACATATGGTCTTCAATTCGACAACACCTGAAATGTTTCATTATACTTTGTGCATCTCCTCTTTTAATCAGATTTTGCTTCTTTTCATTGATAAAATTGTGACAATCTCTTTGAGTAAATCCAACATGTTCAGACCCACCAACTTCCTTTGAAATATATGAGTAGGCTTTTGTCCCTTTTATACCAGCATCAACCATAGAATTAATAATGCTAGCACTGGCAGAATCTATATTTCTATTTATTCTTAAAAATTGTCTCTCTTCTGGAGCAACAAAATCATGGTTGTGATCATCACTGAAATGACTTACCTTCCACATTCCATTTATAATGGAAAACCTAATTGAAGCCTTACAACCCATTCGTGTCACCAATCTTCTAACCTTTTTCAGATCGGAAGGATCACCATATCGATATTGTCTTGAAAATGCACACAAATATTCACGTTGCCTGATTACTCCACCACTCCCATGTCGATAATTTCCTTTTCGAACACTAAAACCCTTCTTCAAAGCATACTCACAGTACAATCTATATGCTTCATCTTCACTAGAAACTTCCATTCCAATTTTAAGTACGTTAAAATCCCCATTTTCATTTCTCAACAACTCTGAATCTGATGACTCCATTTTGATGAGTTGCCTATTAAAACCACAAAATCTATTTACAATAAGAAAACCTATCAAACTACTTTTAGAATTAGAAGGACAAAAAGAAAACGAAAAAAGAGAGAGTACTTAATTTTGACACACATTAATGATATCCATGACACATAAAACAGTAGTTGATTTATCAAATTGATATGACTTGCAAATACTATTACCTTTTTAACACTTCAATTAATTCTCATTATTATTATTATTTAAGCAACAATCAATACATAAATCAACAAACAATGACTGGTGTCTAGGATGACAATGTAGAACAAGGAGAATAAAAGCAGTCCATTAGAAAATAATATAGCAGAAATTTTAGATTTTCACAAGATTAAAAAAAAGTGATGGGAGAAGATAGAATAATAATTGGTAAAGTCATACCTCTTCCGGTAACTTCTTCGTTGTAGGCTTTGTCGACCAGAGAGAAAATTTTGGACTGAATTGTTTATTGCCACTATCCGGGATGGAGTGAAATAAAAAAATATTTTTTCAGAAGTACTTTATGGGTTTGGGGAAAAGAATTTTAGGCGGGATTTTGGGTTTGGGGAAAATAATTTTGGGCGGGACTTTTGTTTTCAGCGACTGTTTAGATGGTGTTAACTTTCTGTCTTTTTGTTTCCCTGTTTTGGCTGAGTTGAAGCTGACATGGAATGTTTCTCTAATATGACATATGGCATTATTCTATTGGATGGGGGTACCAGTTAGTGGCTTTGACGTGGCACCCCTGAGGTACTCAATAATTTCTCAGGATTTGGGAGGGAGAAAATAGAGAGAGGAAGTGGGAATATTCTATTAAGTAAATAATTTACCTTAAAAATTACAGGTAAAGTATTAGTTACATCAAACATGTCATTGTAATTTATCATTATTTATATTATATACATATAAACTGTTATGAACGAACCAAACGTGAGTTGTGAGTTGTCGGTCAGTCAGTCGGTGTTTTATTAGGATTTCACTTGGGATTTTATCTTCACCGGGTTTTATTAGGTTTTGATTTCCTTGCCTATATAGGTCACAACGCAAGCGGTAGCAGAAGGTGGGTAGTCGGTTGGGATCGAAAGGCGTCTGCTCGAGATCGAGATCGAGATCGAGATCGAATGTTGTCTGCTTGAGATCGAAAGGCGACTTTTTGATCGATCAGAGAAGAATTTAATGGCTTCTCACTTGAGAAGGTGCCACCGAAATAATGTGCAGAGACCGTCGAGGGCGGTCCAAATCTCTGTCGCCGCCGCTAAAATCATCGTCGGCAACGCCGACCTTGTGATGGAGATCCTTAAGCGTCTACCGGTGAAATCCCTCTTTCGATTCAGGTCAGTCTCTAAAACATGGCTCTTTCTCATCTCCAGTCATCGTTTCTCTCTCCTCCACTGGCTACATCAGCAGCCTCCACAATTCCATGATCCCAAAATCTCCGGCCTTTTCTTCACCTCTAGATCCGGATCTGGATTGATCAAATTCATTCCTCTCATTTACTCTGACTTGAAAAATTCTACTACTATTACTATTAATGGCGGAGATGAAAACAACCCACTCGCTCAATTCACTGATGTGAATACTAGTACAACCGTAGACTCCTCTTGTAATGGTTTTCTACTCATCTGCTGCCAAACTAAGCTATATACTTATAGTGGTCCAAGGAGGTCTTTCCACGTTTACAATCCTACTACCAAGCAATTCTCTACTCTTCCCTGGCCTTTTTCCCAGGCGTTCACTTTTCCTGGTGAGAATGTGTTTTTGGTTTTTGATCCTTTAAAATCACTTCACTACAAAGTTGTTTTGCTTCAGAGTAAATTGCATAGGTCTTCCCTCTTGTGTCAATTGCATATTTATTCCTCAGAAACCAATGCCTGGTCTTCACCACCCAATATTGGTGATCAGCATTCTTTTCGGGTATCATTACGTGTGAACCTCAATAATGGAGTCTATTGCAATGGTTCCATTCATTGGATTTCCTACAGCCAACTCGAAAATTCCATATACTTTGATGTTGATGAAGAAAGATTCTGCTCAATGCCATCTCCACCATTTCTGATTACTGTTTATAGATTCTGGCATTTTGGGAAGTCCAGAGGTCATTTGCATTTTATTAATTATTATGATGATAACGGATTTAATGTCAACGTCTTCGAGATGGAGAGTGATTACTCCAAGTGGACATTGAAGTATCGGGTTGACCTGAACGCAATGGTGGTTGATCTTGCATCAAAGGAGGAGATGGTTGTCTGCGATGATACTGTCTCTGTGCTTCGTTTAATTCACGGAGAAGATGAAGGGGACGTGTTTTTGGTGCTATTTGTAGGAACCAATATGATCATCTCCTACAACATTAAGGATAACATCTTCAAGAAGCTTGCTGATGTAGGACGCCATCCTGTTTCCTCTTCTCGTGGCCTTTCGTGGTTTAAAGACTCTAGCGTCTATCGATACATTGAGACAATATTTCCTGTTTAAGTATCACTTTGGGTTGGGTGATCTTTATTTCACTGTTGTAGTTTAAGCTTAACTTCAATCCTGAAATCTATTTAGTTTACATTATATTTTACTAATATTATTTCAATGTTTTATGTCTCAATTTCATTCTATGGTTATTGGTCACCAGTTAATCTACGGCCCTACCATTTGAATCCTTATACAAAAAAATGAAAACATAAAAAAGTTCTTATACAAAACTCATAAGGTTATCTTTTTTGTTTTAATTGTTTGGACTCAGTTACAAAATCACCATTTTACTCTATCCTTAATTTCAATCAAATAATATGTTGTCATATCATTTCTTACTATTTAATAACCTATGCTAGTTTTGATCTTCTTCTTTTTAAAGTTATTCTCATTGGTGAACAATGCAATAAATTATATAACCCGATTAATAGAGCACCTCCATTGCAAAAGCTAAACAAATCCTTAAAAAATGGTTAATCCATGCTCAGCACAGTGCAAACATCTATGAAAGGAACAATCCGTATTCAATCCACTTAACTTGAAGAACCAGACAAGTTAAAGTTCCGACTTCACACTCCCTGCAAGCTCCCCTCTCTAACTCCCACTCTATGCGACTTAAATTTTACTCGCTTTTGTACTTCCATTCTCAAATTGTCTCCCGGTCCGTGTGACACCGTCTCACATAATGGTGTTTTGCCCTTGTCACTTGTTCCACAAATAGACAATAGCCTGCCTGAAAATACATACATACTGCTTTTTTCCTACTTTTGGCACCAAAACTTACCTTCTACATAATCAAATTTGAAGACAAAAAGCACCATAATTTGAATTCTCACTAGCCAAAAACTACATGCCCATGTCAACCTATCATTTTAACTAGAAATCAAAGTCATGACTCCACATTTCTGATTTCACTCACAGTCTCATTCCATAATTTGCAAATCACCTCACCACCTTCAACAGAATCAACTTTTTATTGAAATAACACCATTCAAATTGAACCAAGTTAAGATTGAATCATTCAAATTGAACCAAGTTAAGATTGAATCATTCAAATTGAATCTTACCCATCACATAAATTAAATTTTTGCAGACAAAAAGCACCATTCTTTGAATTTTCACTACCCAAAATCAAATGTGCACGTCAATATGTCGTTCAGGGTGCATTAGGTTCACTGATAGCCGTACTGGGTGGCAAGAGTACTCAGGTCTGAACAAGCCTGATACGTAAAACATTTATTTGTTTATCTTTTTCTTCTTTTGTCGGGTTGAGATGGCTGTTCAGTACTGAGCTTATTAAAACTATACTTAATATGGTTATCATAAAATTGAGTTTTGAGTATACTTTATGTGGCTTTCCATAACCATCAGTTTCTATTTCATGTCACTGATAAAATTTTCAAGTTGGCAAATTGGCACTGGAAGATGCCAACGTCTTCCAGCTTTACGAAGGGGGTGATATATGAAAAGCTAGAGGTAAGATGCAATGCAGAATGTTTGTAATTCCGAAGTTGCCTTGTCACATTGATAGGCATTGTAATTTTAGAGCTTTGTTATGATCTCATCTCTCATTTTTGACACGTGACTCAAAAACTGATAGAAAATGCAGTTCTGGAGTTGATGTTTTGTGTGTAGACTAATCTTTAACTCAGAGACCACCAAGTGAGGCCTTAGTTACAGAGTTGAGCTTAACTTGCCCCACCCTTGTTTGTAACCTTTTGAGTTAGATAATTGGAGTTTAGTCCTACTGCATTCTTTTGAAGTTCCAAATTCAAGCTAATTGAATTGAGTTGGATTTTGATTTGGCATGAAAATTTTAGATCTGGCCATGGAGAAAAGGTCTGGAATTTTGTCATTATAATATATATTTTTATTTGTGTGGCTACATAAAGCTTGGAATATTTGGTAAATTGGTTGAAAAAGTGATAAGATATATATAAAATTGTGGATAGCATTACTGGAATGAGTCGAATGACCCTTTGGGTTCTGCAAGAAGCTTCCGGATAGGATGCTAATATTTGGTGACCAGCTCAGCTCCACAACAGTTTCTAAAAGGTAGGCCCTATTTTCCACCTGCACTCAATGTTTTTCATTTCATTTTCATCATCATCCTAATAATTCGTATTTTACTTTATAGGGTTGTAATGTGATTCCCTTTTAGACCTCGTTCCAGCGCGCGAATAAATTTTAAATAAAATCAAAAATATTTTGTTGTTTAAAATAACAATATTTTTCTTGTTGCTTAAAATTATTCTTTTTATATTTAAAAAGTTTATTGTTGTTGTCATTGATCAAATCGGCATTGATAATTCTTTAGAAATGCATAATAGTTGAAATTAGGTTTTTAAACCATTAGATGAACACTAAAATGATTGTACTTAGTGTTCTAGCCGTTCACCTTAAAATGGCATTTCAAATTATTATAGTTTCATTTTCTATCTTAATATTTATGATATTGATTGGTTAATCAAGTTTGCAGATCTACTGATGTGCTTAGATAAATGTTAGTTGCTTTTATACTATGCTCTTGGTATCAGTACATTAAGTCTGCTTCTCAGTCTGTTGCTTTGCCCTAACAACACCAAGTGTGCTATATATTAATTATTAGAAGACATGATGTGCCCCCAATACTGCATTTATAACATATATAAATGGAATTTGAAAGATGAATTTGGATGTATAAGACATATAAAAATGTGATTAAATCAACACTGTAACGTTTGCCGCCAAGTAAAGCTCTTCCAATTTTATGCCTAAGTTGTCATTGTTTATTTGTGTAATCAGTATCCCTTCTTCAATTATATATTTTACTCTTCTCTGTTCTTAAATAACAGTACCAAGATTTTTATGCTACACCAGCAGTTTTTCACCACCAGTTCTAGAAGTGCCAGAATTTATGTTATTTTATAGTTTTGAACTTTTGTCCGGCAGTTTAGAACCCCAGACAAAAAAGCGTGGACAATCGAACTCTACAGAACCCTCTATACTCTCTTGGTAGGAGAAGATCTAGGGTGCTCTTCACAGAACCCTCTTTCTCATGTCGGTGCTCTTTTCTCTTTGATCGCGGTATGTTTGGACAATCAAATAATTTCTTTGCTCATTCACAGCTTGATCAGGTCAGGTTCTTTGTTCTTTCACAATTGATCGAATCAGTTCTTGGATCAACTACAACTTCGAAATTCAATCGCATGCATCAAGTATTGTTGGCTCAATCAGGTTTTTCTACTCATTATCTCTCTCTCTATATGTACACCCACATACACATTATTTCCATGAGTTCTGTGATTCACTAAAATCATTTCAGTTTTAGCTTCAACAGATTCATCTTCAATTGAATCTATCTATCATTTCAGTTTTTCACACATTTGCATATTACCCCTGAATCACTTAGAAATATGTGAATTGTTAAGAAATTTGTGAAATCATTCAGAAATTTGTAAAATATTTCAGAAATCATAAATAATACAGTATGTGCAAAGAGTTTATTAAAATGTTGTTGCTTGCTAATCTTGTCCATTAATTCTCTCTCCACCTTACTTTCTGCCTTAGGTGTGGGTTGTTTCATTCTGTTGTTCAGATCTCAATTAACTGAAGTTATTATTTATTTATGTATTATTATTTCTTGAGAAGTCTCTGGTTGATTTAGTCTGAGTTCTGTAGAGTTTCTATCTCTTTCAAGTTTCAACCAATTTTATATTTGATATGCAATACCTCACTATATCTTGTGACTTCTGATCTTCCATCCTATACTAGCACTTTTTTTCTTTATTTTTATCTTGATTGAACTCATTAATGACTGAAACAGTGAGTGATATATTTTTTTTTTCTTTCCTGATCCTGCATTTATTAAGGAGCCACAAAGGCAATCAGAGGAGAGGAAGACCTCCCCATTACAAAACAATTAAAGAACACCCACTTCCAGAAATTGGCAAGCAGGGAGATTACCAAGAAATAATCTTGAATGAAAAAACGTAGCAACACAGAAAGAAGCAAAACTCCCTCCTTAACCACATACAAAACTGAACATTCTCACCAGCTCTTGCAGCTTAATATCAAGGGTCAGTCACATTCCAAATAATTTGACGAGCACTTTGCTGAGGATAATCAAAGACATTGTCATGGGGTTTCAGGTTCCTATTCCACCACATATTCCAGATTGTAAAAGTGAAAGTTAACTTCAAAAGCTTGCTGCTGTTAGTTTTTGTCCTGGACTGGGAAACGAACCATTCCACCAACTAATCAAAGTTACTCTCACCCTGCTTCAATCCCAATTGAATAGATCAACCAACCACCTCCGTATGACTTGAGCAAAGCTACAATTGAAAGAAAAAAAATTATCTCTTGAATCAGTATTCAGCATGCAATTATGGCATATTGGAATAACACATATACCTCTTTGCTGCAAATTGGTCAAAGTAGGCAGTTTGCTAGGAAGCACGGACACGCCTAAAATGGCGCAGAATTTGTGTCCGACATGCGTCGAACATGCTAAAATTTGTGTCTGGGAACCTTTTTTTTTTATTTTATTTTATTTTTATGAATTTTCGCACATGGCATGGACACGCCATTGGTGTGTCCGACACGCGTGTCCTATTTTGAGGTCCGGACACGTGTATTTTTTTTTTCTTTTCATTTTCCTCTTTTTTTGATGAATTTGTTTTCCTCTTCTTCATTCTTGATGTATAATTTCAGCTGTTGCGACTTGTGATGAAATATGAATTAATTCTTGATTTAATTTCAGTTGATGCGAGTATGTGACTTACTGACAGCGAAACCAACCATTCTACCAACTGATCAAAGTTACTCACCCTGCTTCAATCCCAATTGAATAGATCAACCAACCACTTCCGTATAACTTGAGCAAAGCTACAATTGAAAAAAAAAAAAACAAAATTATCTCTTGAATCAGCATTCAACATGCAATTATGACATATTGGAATAACACATATACCTCTTTGCTGCAAATTGGTCAAAGTAGCAACTTGCTAGGAAGCACGGACGCGCCTAAAATGGCAAAGAATTTGTGTCCGACACGGGTCGAACACGCCCCGACACGTGTCGGACACACCAAAATCCGTGTCTGGAATTTTTTTTTTTTTGAATTTTCGCACATGGCGCGGACACGCCATTGTGGTGTGTCCGACACGTGTGTCCTATTTTGGGGTCCGACAAGTGTATATATATATATATTTTTTTTTTCATTTTCCTCTTTTTTTGATGAATTTGTTTTCCTCTTCTTCATTCTTGTTGTATAATTTCAGCTGTTGCATGCGACTTTTAATGAAATATGAATTAATTCTTGATTTAATTTCAGCTGATGTGAGTATGTGACTTACTGACTTGTAAACACATGAATTTATTTCATTCTTTCTTTGCTGAGTCGTTGACTGCTGTTCTTTCTTTTGCTGACTGCTGTGCACAGCAGTCAGTGTTAAACAATCACGAATGTTATGACTATAGTATTGTGTTTGGAGTAAAGTTGCAATGATGATTAAATGATACAAGTTATCATTCTAATGTCTTGTTTTTTATTTGGTTTACGATTTAGTGACATTGTTGTTCTCTTATAGTTCATTAATTATGAAGTGTATTTTTTTATTGCGAGGTTAATAAAAATAGTAAAACACTGAATTTTTAAATTACTACATCACATATATAAATATATATTATTCGCAGTGTCTCCGCAGTATCTGTGTCCTAATTTTTTAGGATTTGCCGTGTCTCCGTGTCGTGCTGTATCTGTGTCCATGCTTCTTAGGCCGCTTGTCTTGGATGGTCAAACAAGAGGTCATCCTTGGCGCTGGTCTTCCATCATTCCAAACAGCTCGGACCAGTACCTCTTATGGGTTTCATTTCTATAGTATTTTCAGAAACGCTTAAAATTGGCTTGACCATATTTCCATCTAATGGAATCAGAGCCTTGATTGATAGGAACACGAGTAATCTGATTCAAATTTCAGTGACTTCGTTCACGTGAATTCTGGTCTAACTGATCTTACCTCCTTTAGGAACATCAAATAATCTGATAATCCTTTGACCATAAGTCTGATCTAAGGAAGCACCATTCCACCATTGGTCCAAGAGAAACTTTACAGATTGCCCATCCCCAATCTGAAATTGGACATTTGCTGACATAAATTCTCTGACCTCTAACAGATTCTTCCAGAAGGTGGAATTATTATACATCAATGAACAAGACCAAATAGAATCATGCTTAAGGTAAAGATTCTTCAACCATGGAATCCGAATCTATCCTTTCATAGTCCCAAAATAAATTGCAACTCTTCTTAAACCAGACCCTCCTTCAAAATTTGGACAAGGAAGTTTACTCCATTGTAGAAGATGAAGTCTCGTAGAATTTATTTTGCCGTCCAAAATGAAGGTTATTTATTTATTTCATTTTCTCGATCACAACAACTGGTAATTTGAAGGCAGCACAGCAATAATGGATAATAGAAAAGATCACAGATCTTGTCAACTCAACCATACCAGAACCACACATTGAGTTTTGCAGCAATCCTGTCAGTCAGAGCTTTACAATCCTTCTTTTTAAAGCCTTTATCAATCATAGGAAGCCCCAAATATTGAAGAGGCAAGGAACCACAGTTCATCTTCAAGATTCTGCAGAGATTTATTTTATTTTTTATTTTTCTTTCTAACTGCTTTAGAGAAGAAGACCTTGCTTTTTTCAAAACTCACTTCCAGACTGGAGAGGGTTTTGAACTTTTTAAAGATATATTTAGCTGACCTTACACTTGCTTTTGCAATCAGAAATAGATCATCTGCATAAAAACAGTGTGTAAAGACCAACCCATTCGATTCAGCAGCAGCACTAGTGTGAACCCCCCATTATTCCTTTAAGCCTGAACCAAAGAGGAGAAGAAACCTATAATAAGTGTGAAATAAAGGGGGGAGAGAGGGCAACCTTGCCTCAAACCCTTTTTTCGGTTGAAAATACCCTTCAGGAGTGCCATTTATTAACCAGGAAACCATGAGTTAGAGATGCTGCAATCTGTTATCCATTTGATCCATTTATCCCCAAATCCAAAAGCTTTTAGAACATGAAACAAGAAGTCCCAAGAAACAGAGTCAGATGCCTTTTGGAGGTCTATTTTAAAGGGCATTGACTGATGGAACTTTGTAGTCTGAAACCCTCTTAGAATTTCATTCACCATAATGACATTTTCATTGATTTTCCTGATTGAGACGGAACTTAAAAAGAGATGGGGACTTGTTGGGTCTTTGAACATTCAATACTCTCATACTCTGAGTTATTATCAATTGTCACAACCTTACACTTTTCAACTGTATTCCAATTTTGAGAAGATTCAGCTTTCTTTGGGCGCCACACCATAATAGGAGCTTTTGGGCTCTGTATTGAGAAATAACCAAACTTCTGGCAGTGATCACAGGGTTTAGGATCCCACTGTTATTCAACTTAACTTCCACATACTCAGTTTCTCCCACCATCCACAGATTCTGGGATTTGACAATTGATTTACACACAAATTCTAGCAAAACTGATCCAGGACATGGCTTGAGTAATAGTGTAAGCATATAAAGGTCTGCTAATGGCACTTGTCACACAACTAAAGCCTTTCAAAGTCCAAGATTCTAGAGGAAGGTTGAAGATTTTTACCCAAATAGAAACCTTATCTGTCAATTTTTCTGGACCAAGGAGAGAAGCAACGATGCAAACGATTCGTGGTGCCTTGGAAATTTGATCCAGTCAATAGTGTCTTGGAAAAGTGTCTAGTCAAAGTATATTTATTTTTGATAAGTAATCTAGTCAAAGTTTATTAAGTAGTAATTATGGTAAATGGGAATCTGGAGATGTCATGGAAGCTGACATTAATGCTTTAAGGGTAGCTTGAAAGTCAGTCTAGAAAAGTGAAGTGCCATTAATAGGTTAATTCTAAATGGGACAGCCCTCTTATCTGCTGTGACCAAGTCTTCATCAATATCATTTTGAGTTATTCCAGACTAATACTTCTCTTAAGGCTTTGTCAATTTGATCTGTTTTTTTTCTGTTTAAGTTCTGTTCATTTACAGAGTAATTGTCTTGCTGCGTTTGTGTGTGTGTGTGTGTGTTTTTTTTTTTCTTTTCTTTTTAGCCAAGTCTCCTACATTTTTTTTTTTGGATGCATTTGATTATTTGGTATCTGCACTTTGTTTATGCTCAGACATATTCTTGTCTGGTCTCGTTTTTTTTGCTGCTACACTTATACCATGCATCAATGATATAGTTTAAGTACTTCATTTCTTGCCAAGTACCAAAAGTGAGGGTTCTATCCTCTTAGCTTTTGGATGGCATGTACATAATCTTTGCTTTTGTAGTCTGCAATTCAGTTGCTGTTTCTGATAAAAGTTGCTGAATTGGGCCATGCATAATGCTCACCAGATTTCCAACAGATTTACTCTTTGGTGAAAGATATAAGTAAAACCATTGGGGTCCACCTTGATTTTCTGGTTTCTGTTCAGTCAATAAATCTTAATTTGAAAAGCCACCTTCATTTTCTGTTCTCTGTTTATTCAATTTATATGTATGTGTTGATCCTCTTAAGGGTTGAATAATGTTTATTCAAGTTGGTTTTGTTGAATGGTTGAATAATGTTTTAAATAATTGCTTTTATTGTTAAGGGCGTAGCATACCTATGGCAAGTCAGTTTGAAGAAGAAGTGTCCGACTATTCTTCTTATGACACGGAGAGTTCACATGAGGGGCTTGGTGAGGATGAGAGTAATGATCCATCAGCTCAGAATGAGAAGAAACAGGGGGTTTTCCCGCTCAATAAAACCCAACAAAAGAAGTGACGGGACCCTTTTGAGGTTATTAAATATATATAATTTATTTAGTATTTTATGCTTTGATATTATTCTGAATTTCCTTTAATCAATTTTTTAGTTGAACATCTTTAAGCCCAATTAAAGAATCCAAAGAGGTAGAGAGTTGCAAGAAGTATTCTGGGGAACATCTTTATTTATTTATTTATTTATTTATTTTTTTAAGAAAATGCATGTGCAATTTTGTTGCCTTCTCCACTAACACTGTAGTAGAGCAATCTGACCACTTTAAACATTGTACCAGAGCAATCTGGTCCTTTTTTAAATATCATTATTTTTTTCCGACTATGTTTCCTTTGTTTTGTTGACATCAATATACTACTTTTTTGTATTTTTTGTCAATTAAGGCTGTGGTAGGACGGTTGTCAAGGTCCTAATCCAGCAATACATTGTAGCAGAGCAATCTGAAATTATCTAATTGTTTTTCTCTTCTAACGAATTTGGACAGCCAAATGGTCCAGAATCTGTGGAGTTCGCGAATTTCCTAGTCACGATGGCGAAGAATGGGATGATAGCTCTATTCTGTTAGAATGATTGGAGACATTTCCCTCATGCTATAGAACAGGACATGTGTAATCTTGTCAAGGTAAAAATGTTGTTGCTTTGAAGCTAGATACTCTATTTAGTTTTTTTTCATGTTGTTATTAACTCCCGAAAAGTTAGAGATATAATAGCTAACTGATATCTTTTCATAACATTTGTATAAAAAAAATGAGGTGCCACATATAGCAAAAAGTGGGCTATTGCTTCCATTGGAAAAAAAAATGGAAGGATTTCAATTCTGATCTAAAGAGAGACTACTATGCTATTTCGGACACTGATGAGGAATGATTGTTTCACCCGCCACCTTGCGTTACTAAGGAGAACTGGATGTATTTGGTGAAGTACTTTAGCTCTAAGGAGGGGAAGGTAAAAAACTGAATATCTAACATGCTTCATACCATGGGATTTTGGGTAATTAATTGTCTAAATATCTATATATGGATATGTCTTTGCGTGTACACACATTAACTGCCACTTTCCTTAAGATTCTTAAAATCAGCTACAAATTTTTGCGTGTTTTGTATGCTCTTGCGTGTTTTGTATGCTCTCTTAACAGTTGAAATCCTAAATTTTCCTCTTTAAAAATGCTTGTATAAAAATACATGGTAGATTGTATGGTTACTAATTTGTAGTTACTGTTCTCTTACCTGAATTTTTTTGGGCCTTAAATAAAGCATAATGGAAACATGGGATTCATGTAGCCGACCCCAAGTAATTGGGAAAAGGCTTGGCGGTGGTTGTTATCGAACAGAACTTTTTGATTATGCTACATATCATGTTCTGTTCTATATGTGGTATTTGCTTGCAATTTGTGTGATTAGTTTGCTAGAAATGAACAAAAATTTGCTTGATTAATTGCTGCTGTATTGTACCTGCAAATGACACAAGAACACTAAAATCTGACATAATAAACTTGTGTTGATACCCAATTATGTCTGGCATTCTTTTGTAGAGTCAAAGTGAATGAAAAAAAAGAAGAGGCTCGAAGCAAACCTTACTTCATATCACAGGAACAGGGAGCTACACACAAGTAGCTTGGTTGCTAATCTTGGCATTTTTTCATTGATTGAGTACTTCATGAACTATATATGTTCTCTCCCCCAACTCAACTCAAATATATTCTTTTCATGTTAGATGAGTCAAGAAAATGGCAAAGCCCCTTCGCGTGCTGAACTATTTTGCCAGACCCACAAACATAGAGATGGAACCCCTAGTGATGATGCTGCTTCCCAAATGTTGGTGAGCCTTACTCATCTGATTATTATATTTTATTATTAGTTACTGTCAATTGCAACGAGGTTTCCTTTTAGAGGCTTAAAACAACATTAAAAAGAATAAGCACAGAGGTCATAATGGTGGTGGGAGAGAATAAACAAAACCACAGCCATAGTGAGATGCTTATCAATAATGTCATCCTCTCCTTTAAGACTTCCATCTAAAACTTGAAGCGCACAATTTTCCCTTTATATACTGTTGCTGCTGCTGCACACTGGTGGCAGTGACACAAAAATTAAGTTATGGCCTCTTGGTTGCACTCTCCATAGCGTCATTTCAGGTCATTATATATCCATAAATGGCAGCACTTTTCTTCTTTTGGTCCAAACTAATTTCGGTCTAGTTCTTTTTATATATGTAAGCAAAATGACTTAAAATCAATTTTACATAATGAGTGATGCCAAAATTTGATGAAACTTGTGCAAGTGCAGGGAAACAGTAAAGGGTTCTCTGAATTTGCCTAATTGGCCTGTGGTGTATAATAAGCACACGGTCATTCTCTCTCCCTCTCTCTCTCACTCGCACACAGGCACACACATTTGTAGTTGTGACAGAAAAAACACACCTACACAGATATTACCCAACCCATTTCTTCTCAAACTCTCCTACTAAATATAAGGTGCAAAGGGTCCTAAATCTTTAGTACTGCTGAAGGCGGAAAACATAGTCTAATTTGTACTCTTCATTATAGGTTGCTGCTTTTTCTAGTACTGGTGCTCCCAGTAACTATTGGCAAACTTGGTCTACTCAAGGCACAATTCATCAACAGTAAGAATCACCAAATTGGTTATGCATATTACTAGCATGTTTAGTACATGATTATTATGTTATTGCACTATTATCTTACTAATTAATGTCTTTCTAAAAAATGTAGGTTCCATCAAAGCAAAAGAGGAGGGAAAAGAAAAAGAAAAAGATGACGGAAATGTGTTCTGGTGAGCATCATCTTGATCTCTTCCAATGCATCTCTCCCCTTCCTTACATTTTCATCACATTCTTCTTACCTTGCTTTTTCAATATTTCCACTTATGTTCTTATTGCCATTTCACCCATAGACAGCTTTTTTCATGGCCACTTTGAGCATATGTATATTCTGGTTAATCTTTTCTAAAATCTGATTTTACCTCTACAAAGCCATGAGGGGTCTTAATCTTTACTTCTATCCACATAAATCAATTTCAGGTAGTTATGGAGATAAAAGTATTGTTGTTTATATACTGATTGTCCAACAAGACATTGGCCCTATTTTCATTCACTTGAAAAAGAGTAGTAGTCTCAAAATTTTCCCTTCTCCATATCATTGTGCAGGATGGTTGAAACTCTTAAGAGAATTGCCTTTGTTTTCATTGACAATTTTCAATTTCACTGTTCATAATTGAAGCTGAATCTAACTTGTTATTTGAATGGATTGAGATGGTAGCTGTCAAATATTTTTGCAGTTCAGTTTGGAATAATCATATAGGATTTGAATGGTTTATATTGTTGGAACATAAAGCTACATCCGAGTCTTGAAATATAGGTGATTTGACCATTTAAGTAAGGCTCTCCTGAGTCTGAACTTCGTTGTGTAATTCAATTTTGCAAATATTTAGTATTAAAAAATGCTGAAATACTTTATAGCAATTTAGTTCATGTTTCTGTTTTTTGTTGCAATAAACACTGCTCAAATAGAACTTGGAAGATCTTTTTTAATTTTTAATTTTTAATTTTTTAATTTTTTGGAATTTTAATGTACATCGGCAACCAACTGAAAATGTGTAAGCTGTTCAGTTTTAGGGGAAGCGATGAGGCAGAGGGTTATGAAGGTGTTGGAACAGGAGAGAAGGTAAAAGAGGCTGTTGTGAAAAAATTGGGGAAGAGCAAAACTGTGGATCGGGGTGGAAGCTTGTCTCTTGTATCATGAGAGCGGATCAGATTCACCCGCAGTGTTTTGCTCAATTTTTTTGGACCCTTTTAGTCCGTTATTGTACTAATATTTGACAAGTGAAGCTTTTTGGGGATTTTTATATTTTGTGGTTTTGCAAATTAATGACGAGATTGTGAAATTGTGTGGGGCCAATTGTGTGACGTGTCCAAAGCAGTTCTCAAGTATCTGTTTACTGTTAAGATTTGAGCTAGAGAAAACAGACAGCATTGGTCAAACCAACAATCAGCAACCCAAGGGGAAGAAATTTACAGGCTTGCTGCTCATTTAGAGAGGGAGAAGGGTGGCTCCCGCTTTCATGGACAATCGGGGCAATGACATTTGCCGTGGCCCCATTAGGACAGTATGATAGGTAACTATGGCTCAGTTTCATTTTGCATATTCAGGTTGTTTATGTTGTTCATGACAGTTCTATGCTGGCCTGAAGAACAACTTAAAAGCAATTGGTAGGTGAGTAGTAGTCAATTTGATGAAGTTTTGGATTTTGGATATGAATGAGTCTGAAACATGGGTGGTTGTAAAAAACAGAACCAAGTTTGTAAAACTTTGTAATTTTGCCAATGGAGGAATAAAATATGCAAAAGAGAGTGAGCCTTCAGTATAGCCTTATAAAAAAATATACCACAACTTTTATTTATTTATTTTCATCATTTCAACAAAATATTTCTGAATTAAAAAAGTGAACAAGTTACTCATGGTAATTTCAAAAGTGAATACTTTGCTCCTCATTTGGAACTGCATTTGTTGGGTGGGCTTGTGTTTTGGGTCTCCAGGCTTGGGCCTGATGGTGGACTTGCTCCACCTTTTGTTTTTTTTTTTTTGTTTGTATATATTCTCTGTTTTTTTGAAAAGAAGGAAGAAAAATAAAAGAATTCAAGAGATGTGTAGAAAAAGATAATCTTAGGGAGACATTTTATATATATATATATATATATATATATAAATTAGTGTATTCAGTAGTGAAATAAATTATTAATGTGGCACATTAATAATAGTAGGATTAATACATGTAGATGCTCGGAGAGAACTTTCCTTAGAGATGATCTATTCCCCAGCCTTAATTAGTTAATTAGTTTATTTGAAAGTAAGTAAGGTTTAAAATTTCTGGCGAGGAAACAACCCCAATCCCAACCAGCACAAAGCCACAGGACTCTGGTCTCATTTGAGTTTAGACTGAGTTCAAACTTTACCCTGACTCAACCCAAGGCTTTGTTTTGGTCGCAACATAATAGGTGGTACACAAAGTAGAGCATGTTATAGAAATATATGTTTATGTTTATACGATTCATTATACATTTTATTTTATAAATTGTAAAAAAAAAAAAAAAAATTAAATATCTCACTCTTTTTTTTTTTTTTTTTTTTTTTTTTTTTTTTTCCTTTAATTGTAACCAAATGATTGAATGAACTAATATAACTCTTTTTTCTCTCACCCACTCTAGTTTTATCTATTTGCAATAAAAAAATAACTGCTGTTTCAGAATAGGGTCAGGATGTTACCATAAATCCTCGATCGGTTTTCTTCTCTTTATTTGTAAAATTTCTTGGGTTATTATTGAGATGTAATAGTGAATCATCAATGTTTATTTTTATTTTTAGGTAAGTGTTCACACACATTTTACAAATTGTTTCAACTTCTCAACCTTTCTTTCGAGGGAGGAGAAGTTATATCATTAGACTTAAGGCTTGCTGATTAATAGATTATCTTTGTTAATCTTCAAATCTAGTTTGCTTCTATACAAACAATCCTAATCCTAGCTAAGTTTTCTAGTACCATACTTATAGGCGCACAAAACCCATCATTTTATACACTCAAATAAATATTTTATTTGTATTTTATATCATTTAAGTATTATTATATATAGGTTTTCTGTTTTATAGTTATAAATTCCAGAATGAGAAGAAAAGAAACAAAAATGACAAAATATGAGATTTTATGGCTGTAGAAATTATGGGAATTATTTATAACTGAAGAAGAGCACCGTGTTGTAGGAGAGATGGTCCAACGTTTAACCAACTTTGAAAGAGGTCTCGAGTTTAAGACTTGGTTGCAGCTTAATTGCTCTATATTTTTATACATGCCAGTCAAATTCAAACTTCCAAAATGAAATGATAGTGTTTGGGCTCCATCAAATCAGCAGCAAATATAGTACAAAATGGAAAGGATTCTAGCAATTATTTTTTTATTTTCTTTTGTTTTCCCTCTTGTAATTTAATTTTTTTTATTTTTTTATGTGCTAAGTTTTCCCTTCTAAACTCTTGGAAAGGATTCTAGCAATTATTTTTTTATTTTCTTTTGTTTTCCCTCTTGTGAATTAATTTTGTTTTCTTCTCATTCAATTAAAGTTCTTGTTGTTGTGTTTTTTTTTTTTTTTTTTTGGGTCTTCTCTTCTTGTTATTATGTTAGTGTAATATTCCTCTAAAGGGAGTGATGAAATCACATGTTTTTTTTATTTTTTTTTACAATGCAAGAAGGGTTAGAAGTTAGATTAGTAGGTGCAAAGAGTCGAAGCCTAGCACTCCCAAAATTCACCGGAGGTACTAACTACTGGGCTATCGAGACATCTGCAAAATCACATGGTTGAAGTATGCATATTTGTGTCTTTTATTTTTTGTATGATAAATCCGCCGGAGAATATTCTTTTATGAATCTCAATGACAAAACCTTACAACGAGGGATGGAGGCTAGAAAAATAGAAGGAACATTATTTGTAATATGCCAAAGTGTAAATACAGTGTAGTGGAAATACAGATAATGACTACCACTATTTACAATATACTTTACTAAAGAAATAAAGAAAGAACTCTTCGTGTTATGTCAACTATTTACAATACACTTTACTATTTATTCTCTCTAGCAAGCAAGAGGTAGTCAAAAAGGTTTCAACATAACATCACTCATTTGGTGGATCCTGGTGGTGAATTCTTCTTCCTTGAGATTTATTATTTTTCTTTAGTATTAATTATTTTTATTAATTTTTAGTTTCATTATTCAATAATCAAAAAATTGTTTTAAAAAATATTTTTTCATAAATTAAGTATTTGCAAATTTTTTATTTTATTTTTGCACGAAGTGTAGAGAACCAACAAAAAAATTTTAAAAATCTACACAGATCAAATTGATGCATATTATGAGTAAAGCTGTATTGATTTTCGTTAAACAACAATTTTGGTCAGTTTTACTGATATTTGCATACCATGTTGTATTAGTAAAAATATGCAGGTGGTGGATCATGGATTACATATGTCGTTATATTTCTATCTTGAAAAAAAAATGAAAAAAATAAAATTCTAAGAGTCTTTTTATATTGTGTGGGTATATTTACAAATATTTATAACCGTGTTATATTATTTTTCTACGTAAAATATAATGTCGAAAGGAAAATAAGAAGGAAATTAGCTCACATAGGAGAATTTTGATTTTTTCATATTCTTAATTATGAATAATTCAGTTTATATACTTTTGAATTTAAATATTGAATGAGTTACTAGAGCTCATAAATTTAGTGATTTAGGTGTTCATTTAGAAATGGGAAATGAATGTTGCTACAAGAAGTTAATATTTTCCTTTTTACTTTTAATCATGATTATTTCAGCACGCTCATAATATTTCATGAAAAGTTTACTAGTTCTTTTAAAATTGTTTGACACAGATTATAAATACACATTAACAAAAGGATCTTTTTAATGATGTCAATTTTAACTAAATTTCTATCATTATTCATCCTTTGAACTTAGTCATCCACATTAACATAATAATTAATTATATTCTTGATAAATATTGCAAAAGTTCAATTTTTGAACTTAAGTAAATTGCGCTTATATATTCAATTCATAAAACATTTTCGAAGAGTAATACATTTGAACATAAATTCTATTAGATATAATAAGAAATATTGGAGGTAAAAATTCGCATTTGTTTATATTCGGATTCTTTACCCATATCTATCGGATTGCTAGCTTATAAGTAAATTATCAAATTATTTGTTTATACTTGAATTTACATAAACTAATCTTATAACAAAGGTTATAATTATTCTGATTCTAGGACTTCTAGTTCCTTATATTTTAGCTTAACCATTACTTTTCAAGTTTTATCAGGATTTGATTCGATAAAAATAACAAGAAAAGAAAGAAAATAAAAAATAATAAAAAAATAACTTTCCATAACCATTACTTTTCAAGTTTTATCAGGATTTGATTTAGTTGGCTATATAAGTCGCTTAGAATAATAGTACTGTGAAATCAGAAGAGAGGAACAAAAAAATTGGATCAGAAGTTGAATTATACCAATTAATATCCTAGTTGACACGGATTAGCAAGTAGTTGAATGAATGGCTTCTAAAAATATTAAAAGTTGCCGCCAGAAGAATAATAATGCGACGGAGAAAATCTCAGCTGCCGCTGAAATCATAGGCGGCAACGAGGACTTGATGGTGGAGATCCTTCAGCGTCTGCCGGCGAAATTCCTAATTCAATTCAAGTCAGTCTCTCGAACATGGCGGTCTCTCATCTCTAGTCTGTTGTGGTTTTGTGGAGTCTGATTAGGTGGAAGATTTTTAGGAAGATTTAATTATATGGAAACTTCAAGAGTACTGAATTTTAGGGAAAATTCAGTTTCCTAATCTGATTTGACTTCCTTATTGGTTTAAGGAAAATTCAGTTTCCTAATCTGATTTAATTTCCTTATTGGTTTTGGATTCTACAAAACGCAAGTTCTTGTAGGACAAGTTTGGGACTCTATAAATAGGGGTGGAAATTAGAGATAAATTTGTGTTAATACAAGAGAGAGCAATTGAGAGGATTGAGAGAGAATTCTCCATTGTAATTCTTCATCTTTTTCATACTGAATTTATTCGGTGTGCTCCATGGACGTAGCCCTAAGATTTGGGTGAACCATGTATATCTTGTGTTCTTGTGTGTGATTTTTTTTTTTTCCTTCTCATAGCATTTAAATCATCCATTTACCATAGTTGACCAAAAACAGTATAAATAGTTATCAACTAGATTCCAAAATAAGTACAAATACAATTTCACATGTGTAAATCTAAATCATGCATCCACTAACAGAGTTAGAATCCAAATCCTAGTCCTTTAAATTTATAAAATAAAATTACACAATCTACCTCTCCAAACAGTACCATACTGGTGCAACGTATAACCGATTTAAACACCAGTTAACTCTGTTTAAGAATACACATAAATAAATTACTATATGCCTAAATCACAGCTGAAAACATGATTCTCAATTTAAGATTTTGCAGAGAAATCAAAGTTTCAAAAACAGCAAGCAACAGAAGTTAATTCTCAAATCCTTCATCTACGAACTCTCTGTTTAAACTTAGATTAATCACATCCTCAATATCTAAATGTAGGCTTGCTTCCCAACAATTTTATAAGTCTTAAGCAATGAATTACAATATTCAATAGCACATAGACAACCTTTGAAAAATCCAGTTTAGCCAAACAAACATCAAACATCAGTTTTACG